CCAGGACCCTCAGGGGCCACAGCAATAAATGGGGCAGCAATGGGACGTGCCTCAGGACAAAGTCTAGCTCCAGCCATAAATAATGCTGTGACCACCACAGCAGCTCATGCCACTGTACCTAATACAGGGATGGTCCCCCCTGTTGCACCTCTGACTCATCCGTTCTTCCCTCGACTCCCCTTGGCCGGGCTCCCAGGGTTCTCGGCTCAGTTGCGGTCAGGCTGGCAGTACAGTGTCTCTGGCAATGCAGAAGTATTAAGAAATACTGCAGGTATGGTTTTTGAAGCTTTTATTATGCCATTTGAATACAGGAATGGGTTTTTATGAGACCATGCTTGGTTGGTATTTCAATGGCATTATTGTTAAAATTTTTCATAATATCAACAAAACTGGGATAGGAGATGGCTACACATGCAACATAAGTTCAAGGCTATCAAGGGGAAGAATATATTCATTTCATCTCAGGTGCTGCAAGCAACAGACCTTCAGGAGCTCCACCTCTAGCCACAGCAGCTCCTGTGGCAGGCACTGGACCCTCTGTACTCACAGGAGGAGAGAGTGATGCAGAATCTGAAGGGTCAGCTGAAGATCAGGTAATGGACACAGAAGACGGGGGAAGTGAGGCCTGGGGGGGAGCAGGGGTGGAGGACACGTGTCCAGCAGGCGCCCGGCTCCTCATCATCGAGCCCTTCTACGGGGGCTCTCACAAACAGCTTATCTCTTTACTTAGAAATGGTGAGTTTTGGGGGCTGAAGTGATTACTTCATTGCCCTGTTTGTTTTGTGATACCTATTTGTTCATTAATGCTCAGATACTTTTTATTTACATATTCATTTGTTTAGTGACTGATATCTGTCTATGCTTTTAATTTCATAATGAATGTTTGCTTTATTCTTTATTTTAACTCCTTACCATACTTAGACTCTTCAGGACAATGATTCATTCCAAAAATCATAAAATGTATTATTTACAAATGATTGTTTGGACAATCACTTTTGCAGATATCCTCTCTCTATTTCCTTGTTTAGATGTTCAGGAAATTTTGTGGTATTTTGTGATTCCTATAATTGAGTCAGATATAAGTATTTGTTGTTCTTATGTCTCTGAAAATTGTATATTAGCAAGATAGCAAGTGTAAAGTAGTAATGTTAGTCCATGATTAGTGTTTAAATTTGCTTTCATGTTTACAGATGAATCAGTGATTGGAAATGAGGAAGCAGCATTGTTCACCTTGCCTAGCAAAAAATGGCACTGGAGAGCTCGCACGGCTGCCTTGTACTTTTATCAGAAAATTCCACAGACACATGACTTTAAGGTGAGATTAATCTGCAGTAGAATTATATAGAAAAAAAAAAACATTAGTGACATGGCTAATGACTGAAAACACCAAACATACAAATACACAACAAAACACCAAGCACAGTAAAAATAATAATAATAATAATAAAATAAAATACACCAAAACAGATACAGTGAAGAGGGAGACTCTAAATCTATGACATTCAAATCAGACTGGACTCCTCTTCAGTAGTAACATGAAATAGGATGTCTTGCATATTGTCGTGGATTTAGTATTTCTCTTCTTGCTACAGTACTATTTCAACACAATTACGATAGTTCAATAAGGTTTCACGAGCTCATTTCAGTGTTCTTGAGACGTAATATAGGATGAAGAACTAAAGGTAAAAACATTTTTTTTTTTTTCCCAAATACTGTTTGAAGATTATGAATTTTGTAGACTAAAGGCAGCCAGAGTAATAATGCTAGTTTGCCATATACCTTCACTTTGTGCCACCTGCATGAAGCATTTCAAAAAGAAATAAATAATGCAAAAAAAAAAAAAAAAAAAAAAAAAGAGAGAGAGAAAAAAAAATCTATACCCATCTTTTTGTGGCTATTCTTTCCCTCCCCCAGTGCTGCTTGTTAAACTGATCACAACCCAAAGAGATGTAACTATGGATGCTTGTTTGGTGCTTAAAGCTTTATACATTTCTTTTTTTTTTTTTTTACATTTTATTTGGATTCACAGTAGTGTTGTTAGGCAGATTTATATTATTTACCAATTAGAAGCATACATTATCTTATTTCTTTGAATTCTTTAGTGAAGGCTTAGTTGGATCAGTCTGGCATATGATGCAGTGTTGTGTTGTAGATTACTAAATGTGGCTTCCCTTGTCTCATTTTTCAGACTCTTTTTGCATCCTCTACATTGAATTTATGTGAACTGATTGGCTTGAGACCTGACTTAGGAAGATTAAGGAAAATTCTCTATTTCCATGAAAATCAGTTAGTATATCCAGTCAGAAAACAGAAGGACCGAGATTTTCAGTATGGATACAACCAGATTTTGTCATGGTAAGTTGACCATGTTTGTTATGCAGCACACGAGTCTAGTGTCTAAAACCCAATCATAAACTAGATAAATAATCTAATGATGGAGAACTGACTTGGGAATCTCTGATTGTGCTTGTAATCCTCTGCTGTGGCAAAAGTATTGCAGACATTAGTCTGTTTGTGGACACATTGGTGAGTGAGTGTCCAAATTATGTCCTAAGTGTCTCATTGCTTCACTTATTTTAATCCCTAATTTTATGTTTGGAATTGTAACAGTGGCTGCAATACACCCAAATTATTCTCTGAGACCATAACTCCATGGTCAGTTAATGCCTCAAAGTTACAGGTTGTCTTTCTCTCTCACTTTTTGCAGCTTAATTGCCGATGTTATTGTGTTCAACTCTCAGTACAATCTTGAGTCTTTCCTGCGTGAAATTCCACGCCACCTGAAGTTGCAGCCAGACCACCGTCCTGATTCCCACGCCATCACTCAGCTCATCAGAGACAAGAGCCAGGTAGTGATCATTGCCAAAGGACTTCAGTGATAACTTTATTTGGTTTTACTGATTAAAATTTTGTTTGTGAAAGACATGTGCTTACAGTTTATTAGATTGTTATATGAGTTATTTTGATTTTAAAAAGCATAAAACCAGAATGAACTAGTGAGTTGTTATAAACTTTATATCTTCTTACATTATGTTAAAAAGATTTTTTTTCATGGGAAGAAAGTTACTGATGATTTCACTCGATATGAAACCATTGACAAACAAATGAACTTTACTTTTGAAGGATGTAATATATATCTATACTAACATACAAGTGCAGAAAGGCTGATGTGGAGCCTGTTCTTTCTTTTAGGTGGCGTATTTCCCAGTTAATATTGCTCACAAAACACGATGTCCTAAAGATGCCTTGGAGCCTTTACATATCATCTGGCCCCATCGATGGTAAGTTTTTATTAGACGTTGATTGTTTAATGCTTTAGTCTTTGCCAAAGTTAGGTGTCTCATCCTTACAGATTTCTGTTATTATAGATTAGAAGTTTTGATAATGTTTCTAGAGTAAATCCTTATGCAAATTTTGTTTATAATGTAAAAAGAAGTTGAAAAAAGTTGGTGTAATTGAAAAGTATTGAGGATTGTTTTCATTCTACAGGGAACATGATAAGGACCCAGATACTATGTTCCAAGTTCTGTACCAGCTAGTCGAAGCGGGACTTAACTTCCGGCTCTCGGTGCTGGGCCAGTCGTACTCAGATAATCCTCCAATATTTGCAGAAGCACGGCAGCGTCTTGCAAACTACATTACACATTGGGGTTATGCTGAAAACAAAGAAAAGTAAGCATGGTGTGGTTCTTTTTGATTTTGTTCCTATCATTTGTTTATTGAAGTATATCTAGAATATTTTGTCTTGTTAAGGTGGTCTGTAGATATTTTAGATGTGTTTAAATATTTCTATTTCTTTATTGATTTTTAAATTTTATTTGCAGAATTTTTTTTTTGGGTGGGTGGGTGTCGTTGAGACAGTCCATGTGTAGACTGGACACTAGTATTTTAATATTTCTCAATAGTGGAAATGTGTTAAACTATTCTCATCATTTTCATTATCATTGTTTTGACTCATCATCTTGATTCATCTCTGACCTTATTCCCTGCTGATCCACAGGTACTGGGAAGTCTTACACTCTGGTGATGTTGTGGTCTCAACTGCACACCATGAATTCTTTGGTGTAGCAATGCTAGAAGCTGTTGGAGCTGGTTGCTTCCCACTGTGCCCCAATAGATTAGTTTATCCTGAAATTTTCCCACAGGTATGTTCTTTGTATGAAATGTTGTATATTAATTTACTTTTTTTTCTTAGCCTTGGATTGTGAATCTATGATAGTCCTGTCTAGAGCTTCACCATTTTAGATAATGTAGAGATTGAGATACTTATCTGGTTGTCTACTTTTTACCACAAGTTGCCTTGCACATTGCTTCCATTCCGTGAATATGAAGTGGCCTTGGGATCTTACTGTAAGAAAGAGGAGGCAAGAACTTTGACTGATGCTGATGTGGTTCCTATTATTTTTCTTATACTTATTATTATTATTATCATTCACTTTGGTGATATACACCTTTATGCCTTTCAGAAGCTTATGCTGCAGTGTATATCCAAGTGTTTAATTTTTTTTTATGCAGACCGAATATAGGAGAATGGTTTCAATTTGTGATTTATGATTATATAGATAAGTCATATGTAAATGGGTATTAATGTGGGGCTATTGATGTTATTATTTATTTTGACGTCAAATGCTCTTTTGTTATTATTATTTACATTTTTATATGGATAAACATATTGCACTTGAATATTCCTTCAATATTCCAATTTTTGCAGGAACTAAAAAGAGATATAATGAGTGTCTCTTTTCTGGCAGGCTATTTCAAAACCCTTGCCCTTCTTTTAGGCTTCTTTTCTTTGTCTTCTTTAGCTAAAGCTAAACTTAGGTGGTAAGCAGCAAACATAGCATCTGCCATTTTTACTGTTATTAACCCATTGCTGCCAAGTACGTGAAAAGTATGCGAATTGCGAATTTTATTTACACATAGATGGTCCAAAGTAACCTCACCTTATTTCCCCATTTCATGATTTTTTTATTGTTATTATAATAATAATAATAACAATA